TCATTAATTTATCCTATTTCTAGGTGTCATTAATGTGTTTAAAATGGTTGGCTTAAATTATATTCTAAACCCATAGACAAGGTAGAAATAATTTTCCAATATTTTAATTAATAAAAAATAGCCAAATTCATTAACTAGTTAAACTCCTTATTTTAGCAACTGAATTTATTTCTCATAGACAAGATGTAAATCCTTTTCATTAAATTATCCTATTTCTAGGCCTTATTAATGTGCTCAAATATGGTTGGCTTAAATTAATTTCTAATCTCATAGACAAGTTAGAATTAATTTTCCAAGAATTTAATTAATGAAAATGGCTAACTATTATTAATTACTATTTCATCATTTTAAACAACTAGTCCAATTTATTAATTTTAACCCCTAATTTTAGGTCAACAAGTCAATCCATATTCCTTTTCTCAATTCATGCCCAAAACAAATTTAGCTACTAAACAACATTTTTACAACTAACAATATAATGAGTATATTCAACATTAACAAGGAATTAAACATGGATGATAGCAAAAATTCAAACAAAACTTATATTCTGGGACAATAAATTATAGGAACTAAAATATAATTTTCTGTAAGTTTTCACGAATTAATAAAATTAAAATCCAATTTTAGCAACTAATTGATGATTTTCCCAATTTTAACTAGAAAATGCAAAAAGCAACTAAAAATACTCTAACTTCGTTATAAATTTTATTTTAACTACTGGTACTGATATAACACTGAATTAAACTGAAATTAAGGCCGAACTAATTTTTTTCCCTTTTTTTGAGTATTTATTTTAATTTAAGCAATAATATCAAGTAATTACCGAAATTAATTAAAAATTACTTCTACTTCGTGAAAAATAAATTTCTTCAGATAAATAACTACCTTGAGGCTAGTGAACAACTATATAATTAATTGGAATGAATTCAACATCAATAACTTTTTTATTTAATTTTTGAAAAGAAATGCGAAATACTTCAAAAGTAATCTGGAAATTTTCGAAGAACAGATCGAAGAAACAAAGCACAGATTCAGATTCTACACGTTGAGAAGATGAAAATACATATAAAGAACTTACAATTTGGAGCTAAAATGAAGAAGATATGAAGATTTGAAGTTTCTCTCTCTCTCTAAGACCTTTGGAAGTTTGGAGCTCGAAAATGGAAGAAGAAGAAGCCTTTTAGAACTGATTTAGGGTTGGAAGTGGTGTGTTTGAGTTCAGCAAAAATCGGGCTATTTATAGGACAAAAAATTCCCGTAGGCGCCCAAGAGGGCGGCCGCCTTCCGGCAGCATCTGGCCGCCTGCCGTCAAATCGCCGGCAGATCGGATCGCGGCGGATCCCGGCCGCCGCAGGCGGTCCAGAAGGCGGCCGCCTGCCGTTCCTGTCTGGCCGCCTGCCGTCGATTCTCACCGGCCGGTGGTTGGTTTCGTCTCGTTGTGCCGCAGGCGGCCACTGAGGGCGGCCGCCCTCCGCCTGATGTCGGCAGCCTTCGGTCATTTTCTGGTTCCGAGTCAAAGCCAAACGTTGACTTTCCAAAATAGAGCAGGCGGCCACACAGGCGCCCAGATTGGCCGCCTATTTGGGCGCCTTCTGCTAAAATCGCCCGGTAAATCCTGCGTTTCCTGATCTCCAAGATTGTCTTCTGGACCACTTTGATATAATGCTTGCTTCTTGCGGTATGAATTCATTTGTTACTCAAATTGACTCATTTTGTGCTCAATTGACCCGAAATCCCGCTAAACATATTATGGATGTGATTTTTACCTGATTTCACGAAACTTGAACCAAAATATATAAAATGTGCCTTTTCTTTCTATTTTCAATCAAAAATCGCTTAAATTTGATAAGAAAAATAAGTACAAAAATGGACTTATCAAATTACACTCTCATTTGACAGAGTCAACTCATTTTCTCAGAATTTGCTTCAAGATCTTGAATTTTTTTTGTATATATATATAGCTCTCAAATAGCGAATCCATCAAAGCTTTGTCTAGGGAAGGAGGTTGTGTTGGAGGAGTATCAGTGATTCATCCTCCTTACCATTTCATGATAAATTCACTTTCTCTTTTTTAATAGAACATATTCCTTCTTTGGCTTCTATGATCTTTTCCTTGAGAGAAAAATATGAACAAAGTTCTTCTCTAGTCGCAGAGCATAGAAATCAATCTCAATGCTATGGTAGTTCTCCTCTATTGGCTTTAATAACATGATCCATTCCGTCTGAGCCTCTAAAGAATCGGGAAAAAGAATACTCTGCACACTTTGGAGTTAAAGAATTATGTAAATTAGAATATGTTTTACTACGATCGGATTTGATCATGGTTGACAAAGTTTGACCACAGTTGATCACTCCAAACGATGTATTATTAGTTTACGTGCAAATTAATTACAACCCTACGCTTTAAAAATCATTTTACATGTAAAATTTTAATGTGTGAACTATCAAACGGGCCCTAACATTTATAAAATATTACAAAGTATTTGCCATTCTTTACTACGGAGTATTTAGATTCTTTACAATTTGGACTGTACTTTATAACTGTCCTCCAAAGAAGTTTCCACTTGAAGGATTAGAAACCTAGGGTTACTCAAGTGTATCATAGAACGGGGCACTACTTGAAGGATAGATGAGTTTTGGAGGGCAGACACCGAAGCTAATTAGGCCGCATGATTTTGAAAGTGTTGGATTCTAGCCAGCTAACATTCGCCATGACCTAGTGAGGGATAATTGCTTTGATATGTGGACCTAGGCCTGTCCCATGCCATTTTTTTTGTGATTATGTATTTGAGTCTGATCAATTTAGCCCATTTTTTCTTTAGTTTAGCCACATTTACTGATATTTTTGTACACCTTGTAAATGTTATATTAGGATGCAGGGATGGACCAGGCCTGATCCGGTTCCGGGTCGGGCCCAGGTGGGCTTGGAATTTTTTGTAGGGGTGGGCATAAAAAACCGTAACCGGCATACCGCACCAAAAAACCGAAAAAACCGGCATTTTGTTTGGTTAACCGAACCATAATCCAAAAAACACACGGTACGGTTAACCTACCGAAAGGAAAAGTGGTTCACGGTATGGTTACGGTTTTAAAATTATCCCAAGGTCGGTTAACCGATAACCGGAAGTTCAAATGTTGTACTCGGTTTCATTTGTATCTGCCATAAAAATATTACTGCAATACATTACGTACGAGTGTACAACATATGGTTGTCTCATCTGACGGCAACCATGCTGCGATATCAAAGCCCGGGGAGAACTGGGATAATTAAAGAACAAAAGCAATCTATTTTAATTAAGCAAATACGTAATAAAATAATACTACGTGGGTCGTGGACTGCATAATAATTTCTTCTAATTAATTTGTGAAGAAAAAATGTTGCTGTGAATTTTAAATATATAAACATATTGGTTCGTTCCTACATAACACGCTTAATTCATATCCTCAGCACCAGCTAGCATTTACGTATACATTGATCGTTCCTACATTTTATTTTTTTTGGCAGCTTAATTCATTTTTGTATTTATGTTGTGGTTATTTGGTTAACCGATTAGTGGTTAACCGGAATTTTGGTTAATTGATACCCGGTTGACCAATGTTATGGTACGGATAATAGTATTGAAAATATAGTAACCAAACTCTCGGTTAACCAAAAGTTGGTTAACCGAAAGACGGTTAACCACCCGTACCCACCCCTAATTTTTTGGGTAAGGCCCAGGACTGGCCCGAGAGTCTACCAGTACCGGGCCGGCTCTTTTAATTCTTCTTTTATAGGTTTTCTAATTTATTCCGACCCCACCCCCCAAACTAGTGCTGGACTCGGGCCGGGCGGCCCGGCCCGGAACCGGCCCGGCCCGGTTACTGTTTGGCCCGGCCCGGGGCCCGGTGGGTCCCTCGGTTCGGTTCGGCCCGGCCCGGCTGCTGGGCGGTTCGGGCCCAGGTTTTGGTGAACCGGCCCGGCCGGTTCGGGCCCGGTCCGGACCGGATTTTAATTTTTTTTTTTTTTTGAATTTTTTTTAAGTTTTAGGTTGGATTAGGTATTTTGGGCCATTTGAGGTGGTTTGGGATGGTTTGGGGTTGAGGGGGAGGGGTAGGGGATTAAATAGGAGAACAAAAAAAAAAAAAAAAATTATTGGGCCAGTTCGGCCCGGCCCGGCCCGGCCCGGTTTGGCCCGGAACCGGAACTGGCCACCGGCGGTTCGGGCTCGGGCCTCCCTTTCCTGGCCCGAGGCCCGGCCGGGCCCAGGCCCGAACCGGCCCGAGTCCAGGCATACCCCAAACCCCGCCAAAACACCCAACCCAGCGCACCTACCATAGGCCCAAACCCAAAAAAACCAAAATAAAAAGAAAAAGGCACGGACCGGATCCGGACTGGCCGGGCAAGTTCCTATTTCCCCAGCCCTGGAACCGCCCCTTAAATCCCCTCGGGCCGGTCCTAGGCCCGGAACTGGTCCCAACCAACTGGGCCAGTCCCGCACAGTGGCGGTCCTGTCCGATCCGGTTCCCACCTTCCCGGGCCGGTCAAACCAGAACCGGGCAACCACTATTTGGATGTACTAGTATATAATAATACTATACATTTCATCCCAAAAATTATTTCCACTTTAACTTGCACACATTTTTATGTAAGGTAAAATATTATTTGACTTTCTAAATACGTAATATAATATTATATCATACTCCGTATCAAATAAAAAGTTGACAAAAATAAGGGTAAGTGCGGCATTTTATCAAAAATTGAAGATTTTGGTTCGAGACATCGAAAAGAGGATGGTGGTTATTGGTGGGAACTTGTTTTAACTTTTAAGCACAAAACCACGGAAGTAGTATATAAATTATTAATTAAAAGCATCATTTGATTGACACAAAAGTATTTTATTTTCATCAATTTTTTTCGTATACTATAATTTTATGCTTTTAATGTTTTCATTCTTTAGGGATCACATTCTTCATTCGTTTTGCCATGGTCACCGAAAAAGTGAGAGCTGGCCCCGACGGTACAAAGCTGGAGCATCAAAATATGAAAACAAATTTAGCGAAAGAACTATTAACATGTTTATTCTTATTTGAGCACCAAATCGAACAAGAATAATAGTGATGCTATTTACATAACTAGGGCTTAAAAAGAACAACTAATGTGCTCATTATCCACTACATTGTGTAGGACAGCCCTTTAGACCTTAAAGATTTGGGGTCGGGCATCACAGGGTCTGCAGGAAACAAACTAAAAGATAAAACACACCATTGATCTATACTTTCTTTTCCGATCTCATTTACTAGCACATTTCTAAAAGAATATACCTTAAAACATAATTGTGTACCATGTGACATCTAAGTTTGCCTATTATTGTGATGTGGTTGAATACTCAAATAGCAGACGCTTGTGTGGAGCAGATTGTAGGAGTAGACGCAGACGGTTTGTGAGTTGGTAGATCAAAGTCCACTGCATTGCCATTTCTGAATCCTTCATCCGTCTAACCACAGATGCCTGCATCAAACCATTCAGAAAAGAAGAAAGGATTAGTAAATGATAGGTGATGACAACAAGATGTTCATTGCATATTGACAAAATATGTGTTAAGTCTTTACACAGTTTTCGGATTTCATACCACTACCATTCTTTAGAAAGTTGTGGCTGAAATTTGCCAGTCTTTTGCATTGATTTAGTGTTGACTAGTTCCAGACTACTAATTCATACCACATGACTTAAGGCGATGGTGAATAAAATGTTTTATGCAAATAACTTTCTGACTAAATGAAAGTGAATTTCAGACTTTCAGTAGGAATGTTGTTGGAGAATTGGGTATTGTAGAGCCTGAAATGTTTACATTACCCATCAGAGTGAAAACTAGGCTGCAATTTAATTTTACATTTTTGTGCATGTGTACTTAAATACATATGAAGTAAATACATAACATGGGTTTAAGTAAGGGAAAGAAGGAAAATGCCAAAGATAAAATGATAAATATGAAGCAAACGAAAGAAAACATTTGGAGTGGACAGGATTTAAAAATCATGAACCTGAAGGCGTTTCCCCAGTTGTACTTCAACCTCAGTACCAAAAGAAATATTGTTGGCTAAAGATTTTAGAGGATCAACAGTGGGATCGACAGACAGCAAGCTCGGAATCTGAGGCGCATAAACAAGCCTCCATCTAGCCTGTCCAAATTCGCCCTTCCCTTCAATCCTAGGCATCAATGTCTCCAGCGTTGCAGTAGCAAGCTTCTTCAAAGCGAGCTGGCCATCACCTTCTAAGATGGATTCAGCTAATTGGCTTTCAAATACTCTTGCAGCCTGTTCAAATCATAATCACTTACGAGTTATGACTGGGTTGTAGATGTAGGAAGGTGCAATTGTATCTGAGATTAACCAATTCCCATTTACAAAACTACTCAGCAAAGTCAGCATAGAATATGGAGCACAGTAAAAAACTGCATCACACGGAAATCATACAACTCATACAGGAAGAAAATTTACATTACTAGTACAAAACATACTGAATATTTTCTCAAATGAAACCCTTCTGTTTGCATAATGAAAACTCGAGAACCCAATTGCTTGTTCACAAGGTATCATTAACAGGGGCATAGATAGGGGACAAAACCAGGCCGGGCCTACCACAAATATGGTAAAACAGTATAATCATACGTAAATTTTTGTGCAAAAACTATATGAAGGATTATTTTCCCGGCGCACCCCAAATTCATAATTTCTAGGGTTTTTCTGCACCACTTATCATTATCTAATGATTTTTTTAGACCTCTTGCAATAACAAACTTTCCATCATTTGCAATGGAGCCAAAGACTCACTATGTTTTGGCTTGGGAATAGGATAGAATAAAGCAAATTGGCTCACTAAACTGTCTGCGCTTCTTTGTTATGAAGCACCAATCAGTCCATGCAATTTTCGCCGCGATTTTCACTATGGGTCATCCGGAAACAGTCTCTTTGTGCTTTAGTACAAGGGTAAGACTGCGTACATCCGTCCCCCCTTACCCCACCGCAGGTGGGAGCCTTTGTGGCACTGGGGTTATGATAATGATGATGATCTCTTGCAATAACAAACAGCAGTTCAAATTTTAAAAAGCTTCTAATAATTTTGTTCTGAAAGTTTCCTTTGGCTGAATTTCATCAAGAGTAAGTTATTACTAAAGATTACCTTCATGCAAGATTTCAAATAAAAGAGCAAAACAAAGCCTCATAAAAAGTACTTCATACCTCATAAGGTGACAGGACATCTTGTTCCACAGAGCGCGTTGATGTGACAACTATTTTGTCCTGCCATTTGCTAGCCCTACTTTGGATCCTGAATTGCCACGCTGAACCAACCAAAGCTAAGTCCAGCATTGGATCAAGTCCATTATCAGGCTCAAACTTTGCTATATTCAGATGATCACGCTTAAGCCTCACCTAAGTTAAAAAGTTGTGAATAGAAAAAGATCAAATGGCATACTAAGCAGTAAGCATTAAACATTCTATAGTTTTATAGACAAGCTTGAAGAAAGAAATATATTAAGATTGCTATTTATTTATTTATTTATTTATTTATTTATTTATTTATTTATTTATTTATTTATTTATTTATTTATTCATTTATTTATTTATTTATTTATTTATTTAACATTTACACCTTAATACCACCAACCATATGAACCATCACAAAGAATGGCAATGCTTATTGTTGACTTATAGTTTTGATTGGAAAACTAGTGCAAATATTATGTAGTGAATGTTCAAAGATAGGTTAAAACAAGATAAACTTCGTAGAAATTTCGAGGGGTAATCTTGAATCATGTATATTTGTTTGAATAAAAAGACTTCTACTGACTTAAAACCCTCGACTTACAACTTTCTAAAGACTAACATGTTGAGCTTACATGGATAGCTATGCTAATCGTCTTGCAGTCATTCAATCAGCTATTACATCTCGCACAACACAATTGTTGCACTTCTACATTTCTGTTTGAAGGGTGTCTTTTTATTAGAATTATAGGATATCAATATAGATTGTGGAAATCCTAGCAGTAGTGGGCTTAGCCCATTTGTATATCTTGTATAGGAAACCCTAGTACTCTAAATATAGCTATAAATATAGCTTCTTGTATAGCATTTTGATATCAAGTATATGAAATAAAACAATACTTGTTCACATAGATGTTCCAGAGCAGTGATGTGTTTTTCTTATTCGAGAGATGTTAATACAAAAAGTTTGGTGAAATTAAAATCAAGTAATGATAAGTACAACTTCAAGCTGAGTATGCATATGTTGCCAGAACTCACACAAGTTCAATAGTACCAGTCAAAGTATAAGTGAAGTTCAAATAAAAAAGTTTAAGTTATGGTGAAGTTCAAGTTCAACCCAAGTTTCTAATTTGAAGTTTAACTTTTTCCGATGTTCAATATGACATGTACAGCTATTGTATCAAGCTTAGAGCATAAAAATCTCCTTCTTGAGGAATGAGGAGTGATAGGAACCCTAGGCCCCCAAGGTCAGGCGCATTAAACATACAGTGTAAGAAAAGTAAGAAGTTGAAAGTCAACAAATTATTATATCAATAAAAAAATTGGTTCTTAAAAAGAGGTTGAACACTTGTATAGAAAAAGAATAAACTATAGCAAAAGAGATTGCTAGTACTTTCACGCCTTCACATATAATTAATAAACCAATAGAAGTAGCAGCAGAACAAACTGCAAAAAGTTCATGAAATGGATAGCAAAAACCAACACTAAAGAACAAGGAAAAATGTAAGCTCCAAGATAACCCATAGAAATCAAAAGTATCAACAATAACAAAAACACAAACAATATTTACCTGAGTAGCGACAAGATTCACATTACCGTTCTCAAAGGTCAGAATTCCTCTGGGTTTTATCCATTTTGGATGAGCAACACCATTTAACTCAAGCTCTCCGCTGACAGCAAAATTGAGAATTAAAGGATAGACTATCCTCAGTTCTGGTCCCAAAACAAGCTTCAAATCACAAAGGCGGACATCAAGTTTAGGGTTGTTGTCTATTTTCACCATGCTGTTATCATCTTCAAGATGTTTACCTGTGAGTAATTATAAAAAGTTTTAACAATTGAACATGAGTCACACCAAACAATGAATATCCTCCTAAAGCATCCATATGAACATTTGGTGTTGAGTTTGAAACACAATATATGTGATATCTGTAATAGGCACAGAACATCTGTCAACACATTAAAATGTCAGAGTTGGAGTAATGCTGACATGCTGTACGAAGAGAAGAAATGGAGAAAAGAAGCACTTGCAGCAGCCTTGAAAAAGAATTGGATAACATATATCTGAAATAAACAAGATTATCCTAAGCTGGTTTAAGTCATAACACACTTAAAGATGGTAATATTTACATTGGCCATCTTGCACCAACATGTACTTCTGATCACAAAGCAGAAGCATGCAGAAAAGCAAATTAGATGGAATGCTTGGTCATCCTCATCTTCACCCGGTCACCCCCCCCATTTACCCATCCAAACAAGTTGTTAGGCCTCCCCTATTTAAACTTTTAAAATAAATGCATAAAAAGAAAGGTCAGATGCTTCATTACCTGATGATTGATGAAGCTGGAGGTTGGACGCAGCCGGCTTTAGATTAAAAAATCGTGAAACATACTTTGACACAACTAAACGATTGTAAGCATCATCAGGAAGCCTTGTATGATACGATGTGCCTCTATTAAGAGCAGTTCCACTGCCCTTGTCATGTGGTAGGTATGCTTCACCTTGACTTAGTTTTATCTTTCCAGAAATGTTAGGTTGCAATATGGACCCCCTTATTTGCATTTGAGTGTCAACCTGACCACTAAATGTTGGGAACCATCAGCTTTGAAGAAAAGGATATTGTGAACGGGGGACAACAATCAACTAACGAATGCAAAGTCAACATAAAAATGTGAAAATGATCTCAAAATATATGCATAGCCTGGACCACATCAACCACTACCATTAAACCCAGAGAATTAGGTTAAGAAGAGACGTCTACCGAAGATACAAACCATAGACAACTTCAGATTATATGATGAACACACATTAGAATACCTTAAGATATTTTTGGCTCGTACTTCCAAGCCTTCACATTTTAGGTTGATTTTATCATCAGCTGCTATTTCACCTGTTCTGAGAGGCAAATTACCCTTCAATGACAGTTTCCCTTTTCTGCTTACCCTGCCCTCCAAAGAACTGATGTGCAGTCTATTTGATTTCAAAAGAACAGAACCACCAAGGTTGGTAAGTGGTTTTCGAAGCACAGGTGAAGATATAGTTGCCCTGTGGAATGATGCAGATCCATCAAGTACTGGCTGTTCAACTGTTCCACTAACCTATGAAATTAAACAATACTCATAAAACCAGGATAGTTTTGGGACCTGAGAGTAGATATCAAGCCATTCATGAAGGTTACTATTAACTGTGCACAATCTCACAACAACAATTTGACTTACCTGGAGCATAACTTCAGCACTGCCTTGTAGCCAGTTGGCGTAAGGAGACAGAGCAGTTAACAACATCATGCCAGCATCTTTAATATCAGCGTCTATTCTTACTTCTCCTGTATCTAGTACATTCCAGTTCAAACCCTTGAGGTTTTCTGTCATCTGAATATCCCAACCCTCCCCACCTCTCTCTCTAGACCCCCTTCTATCAATACCTTCACCTGTAATGCCTATACTCTTATCTGTACCCCAATATCGTTTCGATATCACTTCATTTTTTACAGTTCCTGAATTTTCTTCTTCTAAAACATTGTTTTGGACAAAGGTTACAGGAATACTTCCTTGAATGTGGACATGGCCATTTTGTATGGTTGGTGCAAGTTTAGCATAGAACAGGAAACGACATGCAGGAGTTAAGGAAGCAACAATTTCAGCTCGCCCAAGATCAACTCCACCAATGGCACCATCAAGAAGCCTTACTTGTATATCACATTCTGGTTTAGCAAGACTTCCTCTAAGATCCCCTTCCATATGCAGTGTACCCTTTATTGGTGCTAAAAACTGCCGCAGAGAATGAACAGCTTCAGTGGCTGTAGTTTCAATGACCTGAACCAATGTAGGAATCAAACTAACAGGAAAGTTCAGAACAGCAAAATGCATATTGGTCTTTGGCCCAAGCAAGGTCCCATCAGCATGTATTGTGGCATTATCCCTCTGGATAAGGATTCTCTCTAGCCGCAAACCATCTTCATTGCTGTATGCACCAGCTGCTAGAACACGCTGTGTCTTATAAGTTCCCCACTCCCATTCTTCCCCATGAAAGTCAAACTCTGCCTGTAATGTCACCAAATAAGTAGAGATTATGCTAAGAGTATATGTTGAGTTAATGGCCAAACATTAAACATTAAGAAGTCTAGTTATTGGCAGTCCTTTCCTTAAGTGTTTTAGATTCCTTAACTCGTCAAGAAAAGCCTAGCAAATATTCATTTAAAATTTTTAATATGAGATAGAAGTGAAAAGCACTGAACTCAGAACCTAAATCAGTCTTTAATACAAGCAATACAGAGATGAGGCTAAAAAATTGAAGCTAGACACTCCTTTTCCTAGGAAATGAGATGGCATCCATTTTTGAAGGATACCAAAGCTGTCCAAAGAGAAAAAACATGCTCTCTTTTTACAAAGGGGAGGGTAGTCAAATATCAGAAATTACCCTAAATAGGAGTAATTACTCCCATGATTGGAAAATACCGCCATATTAATGTCTAGAAATGCCAAAATATAGCAGTATGGTTTCGGGATGACAGTAACTTACTCATGTTTTGGGAAAATTATATAGTACTCCTATTTTCAAATTTACACTGTTCTTACTCCTACTTCAGGAAGTTTCCATTCGAATAATCAATATAAACTTTTGGCAGATGATAAACGGAAAGCACTTGTCAAAAAAAATCATGAATGTCAATAAATAAACTATAGGCATGTAGTTTAGCTTGATTAACAAAAATATCCATATTGTTACATATTTTTAAATACTAATAAAGCTAAATATCAAATCATCATTGGGATTCTCAAAGATCATTAGAAGGATCTTATTGATTGAACGTACTAATGTGTCTCCGTTGCCTCCTCCACTTGCATCTAAAGAACCACACCAGCGACCTTTGAGTTCAGCCAATCCTGGAAGGCTGAAGTCTTCAAGGACAACTTCATCTGAGGGGGTAAAAAGAACATGAATTTCCTGATATGCAAATTATAAAAAATGTCAGGGAACAACGTACTAACAAAAAAAAATCTTTAGTACCAAAATGCATTGTATATTTTCAACAGCTCACGTGCATAAAAGATAAGATTTTCATGTACAGTGGATAATAAAATTTTATTCAGAAGGAAGTACCTCCAGCAGACTTTGCAGGCTTTCTGCATATTGTCCCACTGATTGCAAACTTCGGATAAAAAGGTCCTGCATATTATAAATGAAATGCATGAATAAGCAAGCTACACAAAGTTAATGCACTGCTCTAAAGCGGAGTTTTTCTTTCCTTTATTAATTTATAATTCATTTATTATAAAAGTGTTATGTCAAACAATTCTAGATCCAAACATCTTAAGCTCCAACGGACACTTTTTTATTTCCTTTATTATTTGTCAAACAGGAAGTCATTCATATTCAACTTAACTAGACACATATCATCCAGGCATACATTGCGCTCAGCCCACTAGGGCTATACAGTCACGTTCATTCAATTCAGTTCACAACTAAGGCCGTTGCAATTTTCATTCATTGCGCCCACCAGTGATATGAAATTATGAATCACCAAACTTTTTAACAAACCTTCACATCGGACATTTTAGGTCATTGTTCCCGCCAAACCCTACAGCAACACCAGCATCAGGCTTCTGCACCTTATAATGTCTCCGGATATATGACGTCATTAACTAGTGATGTAAACAGCTTGGAGGCTTTGTACGCTTTCCCTATCGTTGTTGGCCGCGTATGTGAAGAACTGGAAAGTGGAAACGTGTGTGTGTGTTAAAGAAGAAGTGTATCATCCCATGCACCGTGCAGTAGGACAAAGACAGATTGGGAATAACAAAAGTAGAGTTTTAAGGAGTATCTTTATTAATGAGAACAAACGATAGATGAGCAACACACTCACTATTACACAAGAAGTAGCAAACAAGTAGACTAAATAATAAAGTAATAAACTGAAAGTCTACAACAACAACAACCAAGCCTTAATCGCAAAAGATTTTGGGGTCGGCTAACATGAATCGATACATGAAGAAAAAAAGATTTGCAAAGAAACTAAGAATAGAAGTCTAATTAAAAAATTCCACAAACAGTCTTGTGTTTCTGTGAGCACACAAAATGTTCGAGCAAGATGTATGGTGTATTCGTAATGATGCATATGTCCATGATGTGTGGTTATCAATGAAGTCGATCATTAACAAAGTGGCTAAAGAGATACTCGGAGAATCTAAAGGATGTCTGCCACCAAAAAAAGGACAAATCTTGGTGGAATGATGAGATGAAACAAGCAATAAGGTCCAAAAGGGAATGCTACAAAAAGTTGAGCAAAAGTTGGAGCGATGTCAACATAGGGGAGTACAAGGAGGCTAAAAAAAAGCAAAGAAAGCCGTAAATGATGCAAGAGGGAAAGTGAACAAGGAATTGTATGTAAAATTGGACTCCAAGTAGGATGAAAAAGATAATTAAAGACTTGCTCGCCTTCGTGATCGTAGAACTCAATATATCGTAAAAGTTAATTGTGTGAAGGATGTCGATCAAAGGGTACTAATGGAAGATGAGGAAATAAAAGAGAGGTGGAGGTCATACTTTGATACATTGTTCAACGAGAATACAGTGCAAGGCATGGTTGTTGATAGCGCGGAATGGCACGTGCGCCATGCGCCATGTGGCGCGCAAATCCCCCCGCACCATGAAAAGTGGCTGTGGCGTTACCTATACAAGTGGTAACGCCATTTGGGCACCATCAACATGGTGTTGGGCCATCTTATTTAACAAAAGAGAAGTGCAGGCTCACGAGTCCAAGGAAAGTACAAAGAGAATTCCAACGAGTGTAGGCAAAAATTGTCTGAAGCATCTGGAATCCATGGGAAACGTTCATAAATATTAAGCAATTCAATTCTTCCCGGAGACAAGTGTAAGGCGACCTCCATAAGGCATCAACTTCAAGTCACGACTCGCCAGGCGACGGGCTACTCTCACTACGTCAAAAGTTGACGTTGACCCATATCGTGGAGAGCGTATATCATACCACCGGGTGTACGTACACCCGGCTCAACTAAGGGAGACAGCCCAACAATCAATACAGACCACATTTTTTTCGGTGGCAATTTTGTAATTTAAGTGAAAAATCGCGGCTTCCACCAAATGAGCATACATAACTACAAAGTGTACATTGATATGAAAATCGTAAGGTTTTGTTAGTTGAACATCACGAAATTTTAATTGAGCATCAAACATCCGCTATTGAGATGAAAACCACAGTTTCTTGTGAATGAGCAGTAATGAACTTTTTATGAGCATCCATTCTATTACGTTGAGTATTAGAGGTCAAGTACTGAGCATCGTGATTTCTGCTACATATTGTGTAATTCACTTTCTTTTTTTTTTCTTTTTAAAATGTCTATAATGAATCCAATATGCAAATCTAGTGTCATATTATACCTTTTAAATATGCATGAATATGATATTTTAAAATGAGCAATACACCAACATCAAATTAACATACATAACGCACTTAATGAGCATCGAAAAATACAAAAAGTGCATATAAAATCTCTAGCATGTTCAAATATTAAATGATCACTCATAACTTACGAAATGAGCATCAGAAAATTTAAAATGAGCATTACACCAACATGCATGAACATGATATTTTAATATGAGTATTAAATCAATATCAAATGAGTATACATAATTTGCGAAATGAGTATCGAAAAAATAAAAAACCTTTAATATGCTTAAATGTTGATTTATAAATAAAGAAGCATCATCCGCAAATGAAATTGCACTGATCAGCAAAATAACATGGAATCCCAAAAGTACTAGCAAATAATCCAGCAAATCCGGCTTGTCTTGTACTCTTGTTACCCAACGATTCAGCCCCTCCTAGCGTAACCAAACCCTCTAATTTAGAAAGCACCAAAAAATCAAAAGCTATCCCAATGCTCGCAATAATGAGGGAGACGGAGTACAAAGCAGAGAATTCCCAAATACAGAGTACATCAGTACACAATCGGTCTATGAGAGACGGGATCTCCTCAGTCTTCTTCTCCGACTCTCCATGTCCGCTGCAAGATGAAGATGACTGCAGCATGTCCGGCGAAACTTGGCCCCAATCGTTGATCCAATATCGACGGAAGAACGACAGCCCTCCAAATCAGAAATATTACAAAAACACCCGGATGTATGGTGAGGACCGTACACCCGGGTGTACGGTATAATTTGCCCATATCGTGTGTTGTTTGTTCGCTTCCGAAGCAGGCACGTTAAATAACTTAGGTTTTTTATTCTATTTTATTGATTACTTAAAGTAAACTAATAAAATAGCGTAACTTATTATTAATACAATTTACGATTACTTGAAGCATCTGGTACGCATTATAATACAATTTAATTTTATTATTAATTCAAAATAAAGTTACCTTTGAATATTCTGTTTACTATAGATATAAACAATTTATTACATATTATATATGCTTAACAGATTAGTTGTTTACTTATATTATAAATAAGTAAATTAATATTCTGTTTAATTCATTGCATAAGCTATTTCATTGTTAATAGATTATTTTAAGTTATTAAGTACCTAAAATATTTGGTATTATGTATGAATTATATTTAATTTTCTAATTATATAATTCTAATTTCTAATTTCTAATTTTGTTGGAATACACACACACAGGATCTTACGATCCGAGTTACGATCGACCTATTTACTATCCTTAATTCGACTTTTGATCCTACGTAGGATCTCGACTTTTGATACTACCATGGAGAGAACCTATTTACTTTGTGATTTTTAGTCTCTTGGGCCTGGTAAATACTTCATAATTTGTGAGGCCATAACATTAATAAAACTCTAATAAAAAAAATAATATATAAGCCATTATACTAACAACAACCCTAACCAAGAGTAAATAAAGATACAAAGTAATAACATGTGAAGTTCAAGATGCAATGAATGGATTGATGAGGCTGCTGAGCAAAATGAAATGGAAAACTAAAATGTAGTGGAAGAAGTTGGTGTTAATGAAGCAACTCACAACACAAGAGCATCAACTCTTCAGCTGCATGACAAGGAGGAGATGAAGGAGACCGAGGGGTGGGAGGAGGCGGAGGAGGTTGAAGACCCTCTTGAGAATGAAATGAATGAGGATGGTGTTCCATTGCTATCAGATTCAAATCAAGATGATGAGGAGTGTGATAATTGATGATGATTATGGCATAATCATCAAACAAAAACAAGCTAACATATTTTGAAAGACATGAAACTTTTTTTTGAATATTATGTTTTTTGGAACTACTTTAAAGTTTAAAATATTTCAACTTCACATGTTTTTGTTAAAATGTTGTTATTCAACTTGTTTTATCATGTTTTGGTGGTTGGGTGATACAATTATATTGTCTATAATTCGCTTTTTTAGTTTTTTTTGTCACGCGGCGACACCATATTTGCGCTTATCCCCATTGCAGACATTCGCATGAACTGTGGAGCGAAATTCAAAAATTCTTTCGATCAACTGTTGTCGCTAAAGCTCGCCAGCTAAAATCTGAACTGTATAGCATCGGTAAAGGTGATGTGGATAGAGGTAGAGGTTTGATGACTAAACCATAAGTAATGGTACCAGACAATAGTATTGTTAGGAATAGTATATAGACTACATTTCTTTGTATTGTTACAAGGTGTTTGACTTCTTTGTACTGTACTCTCGGTTGTTTAGTCTGTTAAGGCTATCAACTATAAATACTCTGTAACTACTCTTCCAGAATAAGATGATTTCATTTTCCATTCTATTACTTTGCTTGAACTCTAATATGGTATCAGAGCTTAGCTCGTTCCAGTCATGACGATCTCATCTTCTGAATCAAATTCCTCGCAACCTTCTTCGCAAACTTCCTCACAAATTTCTCCAGTGATCTTCAATCATCCTTTGCCAATTAAACTAGATTCTAATAATTTTCTATTCTGGAGACATCACGTTGAATCTGTGATCCGAGCACATAAACTTCATCGATTCATTGAAAAACCTCAGATTCCTGAACAATTTGTTGTCAGTGACGATGGACGAACAAAGACGATCAATGAAGCCTACAGTACTTGGGAACAACAGGATCAGATGTTATTCTCTTGGCTTTTGGCGTCGCTGTCTGAGTCTCTTCATGCGCGCGTAATCAGTTGCAGACATTCGCATGAACTGTGGAGCGAAATT